TTCCATTTTCATCAAAACATCTGCAAATTTGTATAAAGGATTTCCAGTCATTAAAAAAATCTGACTGAGTTTTGATAATCAGAAAAATCTGAAATTGTGGAACAATGTTTTCAGGACTTGTAAAATTTAATTGCTATTAATTCTTACTGCCATAATAGAGCTTATATTTCTCATGGTATTTGAGATTACTCACTTAGGGTTCTTTCAATTATCTATACTATTAAATTTGGAGACCAAAATTTTTTAGCCGGTTTGTCTTCGAGCCGACGATTGAAGTATTACCAGTATATGATAATAAATAGTTAGTGTATGTAATGTACTTTATAACTTCATATAGTAATTGCTTTAATTAGCGAAGCTTAATTAATCAAACCCCAAATAAAGTTCCGTAGCTGGTTCCTTACCGTCTACATTTTGTAAGCAGGCGGAAATGGTTTTGTATTCAATCTGTCTTGAATTTATGACTCAACTCGGCCCATGGCCAACTCGCCCAACTCAAACACTCTCACTTATTATTACAACTTGCATCACTTTATCAAACTCGCACCATTCAAAAAAAAAAAAAAGAAAAAGAAATATAACAAACTTTAAGAAATGTGTTTAATCATTAGATTGTTATCTTCTTCTCTTCGTAAATTCCTCCTTTCTCAGAGCACCCGTGTCAAACAGAGACAGAACTCGCACAACTCGAAAAAAAATTGTCTTGTCTTAGTTATTTCCTCCGTTCTTAGAGCACCTGTATCACACAGAGACAGAACTTGACCCACACCTTTCGAAAATAAAGAAAGAAATACTACAAACTAGCACCACTGAGAAATGTTTTAATCATCAGTGTTCTAGGTTGTCCTCTTCTTCTGTGAGTTATTTCCTCCGTTCTAGGAGCACCTGTGTAACACCTAGACGGAAGCTGCTAATTGGACATTCAAACACGTATAGAAGAAGAACTGACAAACTAATCAAAACTATCAACATAATGCACCAGTGCATAAAAACAGTTTGAGAAACACAAACCAAAACTGTATCACCATAAACATTTCAAGTAGTCTTCAAGCCGCACTCACGCTGGTTTTTTCTAGTAACATTGTATTAAGGTTACAATAAGATCTAAAATTCTCAGTATTTTGTTGTAGTTAAGTATCTCATTATTTATTACATTAAACTATGAAAGGTTTGCTGGTAAAATCTTTTCAAACTAGTAAAACCTAAAAAAAAATCTAAATTTCAACTAGCAATTTGCCAGCTGTCTAGTGTTAAGTTAAGTCCTGATATACAACCAAACTGCCATGTGATTACAAACAAATGTACTTGATATTAATTTAAAAATTGTTTATTTTGTTTTTGTTATAGATATATAAGCCAAATATTTCATATTTCTATAGAAGGCTAATACATGTTTATATTTTGAACCATGTCAAATAGTTTTACAATGGATTAATTACATTCTTCCTTTAAGCTATTGTTTGGATACAATACACTGTAGAAATTAATATGTATTATACTGTAGTTATGTAAATTACAATACAATAGATGTAAGTTTAATCAGTGTGAAATAATATATTATTTAGATTTATTTTGTTTTAAGGAGGCCATGACATAATTTATCAAGATAAGAGAAAAGGTTATTAACTCGACAAGTAGACAATTACAGCAAGAAATCAGCAGTTACCATGGGAGTCTGAATAAGGAACTTTACAAGTGGTTGCCATGGTAATGAATATTTAGAAAGAAAAAGGACAGATGGTGCACAAATTTTTAATTCCACAAAATTAAAATGTTATATTGAAAAAGTTGCCTATATTATGAAAAATTAGTATATATAATGCATAAACAATGGTTTGCTAAGGTTTTTAATTATTGTCGAGCCTGCAACTTTTGTCGCAGAAAGCTAGACATGGGGATAGTGATCCGGCGGCTACCGGCGGCGTTAGCTAACTTCTTAAAAGCTTTATATTTCAGAAGATGGAAGACCTGGATGCTTCATACTTTGTATATGGATGCCTCATGTTACGAAGTTTCCGTCAGTCACATGTCCAATATCCTTGACCTCATTTTCATGGTTCAGTGACTACTTGAAAAAAAAGTTCAGATTTTTTGTAATGTTAAATTCTCTCTTATTATAAGTAATAGGATAACTATATTTGGTATGTGCGTACCTTGCAAGGTCCTCATGCCTGTCAGACAGTTTTCACTTGACCTCGACCTCATTTCATGGATCAGTGAACAAGGTTAAGTTTTCGTGGTCAAGTCCATATCTCAGATACTATAAGCAATAGGTCTAGTATATTCGGTGTATGGAAGGACTGTAAGGTGTACATGTCCAACTGGCAGGTGTCATCTGACCTTGACCTCATTTTCATGGTTCAGTGGTTATAGTTAAGTTTTTGTGTTTTGGTCTGTTTTTCTTATACTGTATGCAATAGGTCTACTATATTTGGTGTATGGAATGATTGTAAGGTGTACATGTCTAGCTGGCAGGTGTCATCTGACCTTGACCTCATTTTCATGGTTCAGTGGTTATAGTTAAGTTTTTGTGTTTTGGTCTGTTTTTCTTATTCTGTATGCAATAGGTCTACTATATTTGGTGTATGGAATGATTGTAAGGTGTACATGTCTAGCTGGCAGGTGTCATCTGACCTTGACCTCATTTCATGGTTCAGTGGTCAAAGTTAAGTTTTTGAGTTTTGGTCTTTTTTTCTAATACTGCATGCAATAGGTCAGCTATATTTGGTGTATGGAATGATTGTAAGGTGTACATGTCTAGCTGGCAGGTGTCATCTTACCTTGACCTCATTTTCATGGTTCAGTGGTCAAAGTTAAGTTTTTGAGTTTTGGTCTCTTTTTCTAATACTATATGCAATAGTTCAACTATATTTGGTGTATGGAAATATTTTATGATCTATATGTCAGTCACGCAGGTTTTATTTGACCTTGACCTCATTTTCAAGGTTCATTGCTCAGTGTTAAGTTTTTGTGTTTTCGTCTGTTTTTCTTAAACTATAAGCAATAGGTCAACTATATTTGTTGTATGGAAGAATTGTTAGCTGTACATGCCTGCCTAGCATGGTTCATCTGACCTTGACCTCATTTTCATGGTTCATTGGTCAATGTTTAGTTTACTTGGTTAATGTTAAGTTTATGTGACAGTTGTAATAAAGCTTTATATTTAGGACTATCAACATAATATCAATGATTAGTAAAGAAGGCGAGACATTTCAGCGTGTGCACTCTTGTATTTGATCTTTATATAATATTAAGTTGTCTTCACATCGAAAAATAAACAGTATAAAGGATAAATTTCAATCAGTTGTCTGTTGATTTGAATTGATGAAAACAGAAATAAAGTCTCCAATAAATACTGAGTCCGTGAATGCTTTCAGAGTATTAACTGGGATTATTCCCCTTAGATTAAGATGAAGATCATTTTCCTGCAATTTATTGGATAATAAAAGTTTATCATACCCTTAAGAGAATATTTATGTAAGTAGTTGACTAAATACGGACAATTGCAATATAATAAGTAATTTTATATGAATAATTGATAAGATTTATTGGTCAATTAAGATAAGCCTCCATTTTAACCTGAGGTGAGATGACAAATAGACCCTACAAATTAGTACTCTTTGATGTGTATAATGTCCATTAATTTCTGTGCAAAGTTGAATTTTATGTGTTGTCCACTTTATTTGTTATTTACTTTATTTGTTTTTTATAATTTCCCCATGATATGACAGAGAGGTGTAAATAACAGGTTTTTACAGTTTGTCTGTAGGTTTAAGAGAACAAATTTCAGATTGCTGTTAAAGAATTGATCGCATTATCTTGCCTTAATTACTCTACAACAGATTGACTTTGGTGAGAAAAAATTATGTTTTTTGGCATTTTCATTGTCAAAAGTTGATTAACATCCTGAAAATTTATTAGCTACTGTCTATATTTGAGTATATTTTACATCATTGTTCATATTACATCATGGAAACCTTACATGGAGGTGTACTTTAGTGAGTTGGTCATCCATGAAAAATAGGTCATATTAACCTACTGTTCGCTATTAAGTATAAATGGTATAATAAATCATGGAGCCAAAAATTTAATCCATGAAAACTACTTTGACTGGATGTTACCTACATCTAAAATACCTGAAATATGATCAGCATTGATGTATCCTTGAACTAAGGTAATAATTTGAGTAAAGCTTCCATGTTCTGATTTGCTTTACTTTGCTGTCACATAGTTTTCTGATCCAGCCACTGCGTACTATTATCATATATCATTTAATGAATGGGTTAATGATACAGATTTTGTAAAAGTTAATTGTGTTTTTACAAAGACTTTGAACCATTCTATTGATCAGTGGAAGTGTCTGGTATTTATGAAAGTTAGATATTTTGCACTTCAAAATTAAATTTCTTCAGCAAATTTATTATAATTTGTTTACAAATCTCATTGAAATAGAAAACTTGTATCATAGCCTTTCAAAATTTTAGCTTGAAAAATGAATACACAAAAGTCTTATTTTAGCTTTAATCCACCATATATCATTAAAAAATTTAAATCATAATAATTGAATTATGATTCATTCAATAAGTAATCTTGTTGTTGAGTTGAATGGGATCCAATTTGTTCAATTTTGGAACAGAGAGTTGATTTTCCTTATGACAGGATTAATATGTAGATTAATTTTGGAATTCAATAACATTGTGTACTTAATGATTAACATAATTTAAAATCCAATTCATAAATGTTTAAAGTTGATATTCGAACCCATCTACCTAAATATTTTAATTACTTAAATTTTTTCGGGGATCTTAAGCTGCCAAATCAGTTTGCCAGGAGAATTCCAAGTTCATTAAGCATTTTAATAAATTACTCGTCAAAGGAAAAAATAATGCTATTTATTTGCAATTAACAACTTTCTTTTTTTATCAAGTGTTATGTTTGTTGACGCCATCCTCTAAATGAATAGAACTTTAAAAGGATTGTTGACAAACTTGTCTCGACATGCATGAGTTAACGGGTAGTATACTACTGTACCGTAATCGTCCAACCAAGACCATCAATATTGAAATGATTAACACATTAACTAGGCTATTACATATTGTATGATATTTCTGGCATTATTTCAATTTTTTATCCAATTTGACATATTGATCAGTGCACAGTTTTGAAATTTCAGCTGATTTTGAAGAGTATGGAGGATTTATACCTGTAATTTACACCTGGACAGGTAAAAATTCAGGTAAGTAATAAATTGGTCAATTCATTTGTTTTATTGATTTCTGCAGATAAAAGTTTACCATTAAATACATAACTCCAACAAAGTTGTGTCAATACACATTTTACTAGGATATTGTTCAACATGTTAAGGTACGTTTTATTTTTATTTGTACAGTTTTGCATCGTCATTTGAACTTAAAAATTTGTTTGTAAGCAGAAAAGATTAAATTTGTGCTTTGAATGTAAGGTTCTTTATGATAAAAGAAGAAGCATGTGAAGGTTTTTTAAGGAGGAAAAAAAGGGGGGTGGGGGTGTTCTATTTGAAACCTGTAAAAAAAAAAGCAAATGAGATTGAAAATAACTGGAGGGTCGCTAATATAACAAGAAATTCTGAAACAGTTGTACTAAGAGGATTATTATACATGTATGTAAGAATTAAGTAGGGATGGTCAAGAGAATTTAAATCCATTTATGTTTTAGTGCAGCAAGTCAGTAATATTTATTTCAATTGAATCATACATGAAATTGCTTCTGCATTATCAAAATTCAAATTCATATGTTTATTGCCATGTAAACTTTAAACAATAAGTTTGTGACAAATACAAAATAAGTATACAATATAACTTGAAATTCACATATATATACACAATCATTTACAGTAAATAGTCCAGAGTCCTCTGTCCTCAGTTCAAATGACTTTTTCATGTAGGACCCCAATTTATTTACTTGTGATGGTGTTCATGGATTGAGCAAAATTATCATTAATAAAAGTATTAAGAGATGATCTAGGGTTTATAGTCTAAGAAAAGTTTTCCTACATTGGTTAAACATTTCTGATTGAAATTTATAAATAATCAAAAAGCGTTCTCTGTCTGCTTGCATGTCAACACACTGAAAATGACAGAAAATGTCATCAGGCTGCTTTTATATCAATTTACATTCTCTGTTGTGATCAATGGAAGAATTGGTATCTACTGTCTTAAAGCAAAATAACATAATATGCTGTAAGCTCATAAGCTCAACCCCCCTTTCAATAAAAAAATATATTTTTGCAATTAAAAATCAACCAAAATATTTTGATAAATGAATGCAATAGGATGCTCACAATGCATTACATACAGAATGATCTTTGAGAGTTTTCTGGAAATCGAGTCACATGTTAAGAGGAGTTGCGGATATGAGATGTACAAAGTGTATATGGACTCACAGACAAATGTATTCCCCAGCTTTTGCCAGTTGGGGTATTCAAACATTAGAAGATACCCTATATCAGTAATTTTAATAACAATTACATTAAAATTATCAAAGATTGGCATAGAGGCATAAGCATTATATTGACTTTATTGTTTAACATTTTGTAGATTTATAGATTTATGGATTAGAATCACAAAAACAGACGATACTTTTCTAATAGGAAAATATTTATTTATTGTTATATTTCAAAAGAATTTAATATTTGGATAAATATTTAACAAATGTCTTTGTTTGTTTCATACATAACGAATTTAAGCTTTAAGCACAACTTACTCTGTCAAATATACAACAAATATACTTTCATATGTGTACAAAGGTGTAAACTTGTTGGGCAGATATAAGACAGTCTAATTGGCAAAGTGAACATGCTTCCCTCCAAAATATTTGTTAATGATAGAAAATATATATTTTACTGGCCCAGTAGACCGGTAATTTATTTTATGATTTAGCTAGTCCTGAAATGGCTGCATATAATATATTTGCTATAGGTCAGTTGGAGAATGTTCATTAAAGCCCTTGATCCGCTAGACCCACGTAGATGTTGCTCTGATAAATGTCATTGAGATAGCAAAGTAACAAGAACTTTAAAAAAAAACTTCTTGTTTGAATCATTTTGTTTTCATAGAATAGTTTTACTAATTTGCAGAAATACTAAGAAAGGCTCTATGGATTTTGATACATCTAGTATGATAAATATACCAATTGGCTTCTAGCAAATGATGGATCAAAATTTTGTACATTAATTTTTTTTCTTCACAATTATAACGTTTGAACCTTTGGTTGTGCTAAACATGCATGCAATTGGGCCTATTTATGATAAAGACACCAGTACTTGACCTTATTTTAAAAATGAAAAGATGTTATTTTTAATCATAGTATATTTATTCAATACAGCTTAATTTTAACATGCAATGAATGGAGAGTGATCACACAGCTTTCTTATGAAGAGAAAATAAGCAAACTCTGCTTCCAGTTACTGTTATTTACTTTTTCTGAAGTTTTGTAGTAATTATATTGATTATGTCCTTAGTCCTTATAAAGTGGCTTAATAATAAAATAACCAAAGGAAACAAGGTCAATTGTCCATAGTGAAATGACAAAATTTGGAATTCCAGTTGTCAAATAATATATGCAGACCACCTATATTTGATACAGAAATTTAATGACATTACATTGTACATATATACCTTTTGTTACTAAGTGAATGATAATCTAACATGACTTCCCTTGTCTACATACATTGTTAAGACATGCTTTCCCATGTTGAGGTCATCAAGTGCACAAAGTTCACTAAAAGAATAAGCTGTGAAGATAATACAGAAATGGAATGCTATGCCAAACTAACCAGTTCTTAATTAAGCAAATTACAGAACGAGTAAATTTATTTGGAAAAACTTTGATATTTTTTTACAGTACTAAAAATATATGCAAATGAAAAGTGGATACTGGATCTTTTTCTTAGTTTGAAAGCAGCTATGGAAATACATATATGATCACTAGTTTATAGTATGGGAAAACAACTCTTTTTGTTTAAGAATTTGTCTGAATCAGACAACTAGCAAACTAATCAGATTTAATGCCTTGTGTCTATTTAACTTTTAACAGATATAAGTATATTGATATTTATTTTACATTTAATAATACCAGACAATACAATTATATTTATGTACTTTAATGGACTATTATTCAAATATTGTTTAATTTTCAGGTCAGCTAAAGTGTAGTTTTTTAATTTCATAATGGATTAATAACCATGGAAACAGAATTTCTTCCATCAAATATGGAGTTTGCTGAAGGAGAAGTAGATGAACAAGATGCTAGTCCTGAGTTTGAAGGAGATGAAACCATTAGTCTTTCAGACATTCTGTCATCTAGAGATTTTTGCTTGTCTGAGGAAGAGTTATGGGCCTTGTGTCGTGAATGTTGCCTTGTATTGGATGTTGTGAAGAGTTCACCAGAAATGTTCCAAACATTGTGCATTACACCGGACACAGTAGCTTTTGATGGTTCTGGTAATGTCTGCTTTTTGGACTTGGAAACAGGTATGGTACCAAGATGGTTGCTTTCATTCAATGTTTGTAGTGGTTATAATATATTGTAGAGAGATTAGTTTGTTGCAACATTTTTCCTGATTTTAGAAAATTAATGACAAAAACATTTTCAATTTTGCATGATATTCATTAACCAAATAATCATATCAGATTTGTGTATATAAAGTTAAAATGATTTGCTCTAAGTGTTGTGTCTGAAAATTTTATATCAAAACCATTCATTAAAAAGCTTGAATTGGATGTCATGTTATATCTGCTATTGTTATAAATCATCAACTGCCATTTATAAAGTTGAGCTTGGCAACTCGTTGGAATATATGGTTTTAAATTTCATTTTAAGTCTAATTTCAAACTGTGTCTTTTACGACCTTTATCTAACAGATAATGTAAAATATATTTTTACCGCCATTCTATTTTGATTGAGTGAAACATGCTCATCAAGTTTGCATGTTAAAATGTAATTTGAAAATTTGTGTATTGATGAAATAAATGTAAAGCTAATTCAAAGGTGACAAATGTTTTCAATATTCAATGTGCACATATTCAAAGTTAAATTATGTTTAAGGAGTTTCAAATTTTAGTCGACTATCTTTTTGCTGTGTGGGCTAATACCATTAGAATTACATGCAACCAACCTAAAGAATTTTTTGAATATTTAATTTATGTCCTGTTTCTTTTATTATGGTTTAGGTTAATCATGTTTTTCAATTCATGTATAAAAATTTGAACGATAGGTATAAACTTTTTTTACACATGTGATGTCACTGTATTGTTAGAAAATTTGAAAAGCCCTTGGTTTATATCTTAAAAGTAAGATCCAAATTTGTTCTTAAAGTGAACAAAGATTTTGTAAAATTTGTTACATCAGCACCTTTTGATAAAGTTTATCTTCACTAACATTTTGGTAAAGGGGAGGAATTGGAATGGTCACTATTAAGGAATTATAGGGTAAAGGTTAAAGAAGAATCAAAACACTTGCTCCGCTATTTAAAAACCAATACTAACATAGATTTCAGTTTCTTTCAAATTTTCCTTTTTTCTCACTGAAAAATTACGAATCATTTCAAATATAAGCTGCATGAAGTATTTTGAATGAAAGTGAATTGATCCTTCATAGAATAGGTCTCTATTGTCCCAGACATCATTAGTTTGTAGACGAACTTGTGTCCCTATTGTCAGCGAAAATCCGATTAAATGTCTACAAGATAATGTGTTTACAGGGTATGAAAATCTGATGGATCTTAAGAAGGATAACACTATTTTAAATTTTAATCAATGCTGTTTAATTAAAATGGTGATTGTAATACAATTAAGGCTCTTGTTTTGTAATAGTAAGCTACTCAATGTCGTTAGGTCATATTACCAGAGTAGTTGGGTCATATTACTGATAAGCTTTAAAGTAGATTTTGTATAAACTGTTGATGGCTGCATCAAATTCGCGGTTTAATAATATATATAAATGTAGATTATGGATATGATTTGTAAAATATGCTTAAAAAAAATTATGAGTTTTCTATTTTTTACTAATTTGAAAGAATGGATTTTGGGTTTATTAGTATGACCGAAACATGATTTAAATTAATTTACTTGACAACCCATCAAACTTGCATTGAATTGTATCATTATAAAGTTATATCACAAGGAATAGCCAAATATTCAAGAAAGAAGAAGTTGGAAAATACAAACTAAATTTCTTTGAAGTATAACAATTTACACTTAACATTTGGATCTTAAATTTTTATAGATAATCATAAAACATACATATACATATATTCTTCATACCTTTTTGAACGATATCTTGATGTCAGAATTCATATTTCAAATATTGCTTCTAGTTTTCTATGAAGTTTTTGCAACATACATATTTGCAATAGAATAAAGAGCCATTATCAACTTGCAAATTATTCGTGAAAATCTTATTCTTGATAAAGAATATTGATTCAAATTAAAGAGGAAGCTTGGCTTTTCCAAATATTGTCTTTATATTCATAACAACCTTCAACCAGCATCATCACTAAAAGTTCTTGCCATCAGTTTTTTATTCTTTAAAATTTGCCAAATTTAAAATGATGTGTAGTTACTATTTCATCATTTGCTATCAAGGGATGATTTGATGATGTTTTTTTTTAGAAAGTCAGACAAAGTTTAGAATAAATTAGTATTGACTCCTAGGCTATCAATTCACATGTACTGAATATTTTGGTATCCATTCAGCGATGTTTGTTTGACCCTACTGTTGATTCTGATAGGTAAAAGTTTGAATGTTCTGTGTTTAAATAGCCTGACTTTTATAACATAAGTTATTGTGTAAGTAAATATCATTAAAAGTTTTTATGTACAGTGTCAAGATCAGATTTTGTAATAAATTGTCATGCCAAAGGGATAATTGACCACTAAAAAGGGAAATTACAAGAAGTTATTCAAAATTCTAGCCGATTACAAGGCAGATAAAACTTTCTGGTATAAAGAAAAGAAATAGTAACTTGTAAAAAAAATTTCCCCCCTAATACAGGTTTTATTTTGGTACATACATTGCTCTCTAATATCATTATACCATACTGTTTTAAAAAGTACTAATAGAAGAATAATGCTGACCATTTAAATAAAAGGATTTGTGTGGTAGTTTTTAATAAGACAGTAACTCAACAACACAATTCAATCATAAAAGACATCTAGAGGGCACAAATATATTTTCTGCAATAGACTCTTGCTTATACCATATGTCTTTCAAGCTCTTGATTGTCCCTTCAGATAAGTAGTGAATTACTGACTACAAAAGGCCGGACATAATGATTGATATAGGTATAGGAATGAGCTCTTGATTGTCCCTTCAGATAAGTTGTGAATTACTGAGTACAAAAGGCCGGCCAATGATTAATATTGGTATTAGAATGAAGTCATTGCTGATCAATGCAACAAATCTATAAAATATAAAAATAGAAAATCAGAGGTTTCGGTCATCAAACTTTACTCAGTACTTGGAGTACGACATTTGTTCTCAGAGCATAAGATTTGTGCTTGAAACACAAAATCCAGTATTTTGATGGGTTGATTTCTGAGTTTGAGTACGATATTCGTGCTCGAAAGTTTTATGACGACAAGGCCAGTACTTTGATTGGTTAATAATGCTACTCCACAATTTTTATGACCACAAGGCTTGATCTGTGATACAAAGCCAAACCTACATGTTCTTATGGTATTAAGTTATTTGCTTCCAAGACAGTCAACTGAGATTCAGAACATTTGAAAGTACAATGTATTTTGATGGTTTTTTACATTATAATGACCAATTTTGTTTGAGGTTTGAAGCAGGGGTCTAGAAGTATGGTCTAAGATCTGCGATTTTTAATGTTTTATTGAAGCCCTTCATGATTTTGCTTGTAAAGTCTGATGGAATTTTTGGAATCCTTTGTTTGTTTAAATTATGAATAAAACTGTATTTTGTGTTTGAACTATGCTACACTTAATTGAGATTGGAAACAGATGAAAGGTAACAAAGAAATGGCATGTAAATAAGAAAATCCAGAACATTGCATTGAAAGAAAAACTGAGAGCCCTAGAATTTCCGATGGCAGTTGACTGGAAAAGAACTTATTGCTCTGAAATCTAAATACAATCGTGATTGTTCATTATTAAGTGTTCTTGATTTAACAAACATGATATTTGCATTCATGAGCATGTATTATTCAGCTTGAGGTAGTGTAAAAAAATTTAAATAGAAAAAAATCTGATGTGTACAAAACTTGTACAATGTATCTGTTATAAAATGGATGTCTTCGTTGAAACACACAATGTGACAATGATTTGCAAAATTTCGACCTCTTTAAAAAAGTTTTATTGTTAATTTTTCCAGCTATAGACATCAAACAGGTTTAATTTGTTATTATCCTGGAAACATAAAAGGGGAGATACATTTAAGTTTATCTAGCTTGTAAAAATCTCTGGAGTAAGAATTTATTTCAGTAGCACACCTGTTGAGAATCAGCTGTTCACATTCTTACCTGTAAATTTTTTCACTTTGTAAATTTCTTTAAAAGTTTTATTTTAATAGTCTTATAAATTCATAATATTTTACTTTAGCATCCATACACTGCAGTAACACTGTGTAACAAATGTCAGTTAGCTTTTTGATAGGAGACTTGGTTTGTAGCAGTAAATCATGTCATTTTTTTAAACTCTTAAATCTTCCCCCTGAGCAGATAAAATCAGTAAGCTTTTATTCCATACAACCCAAAAGTGGATTTGGCTAAGTCTCTTGCCATCTCATTTTACTATGTGTACAATTAAATACAAGGACTTGAGTTATTAATATCCTATATTTTTCATTTATTCTGTTAGGAATTTTGATATATAGTTAGAAGCTCAAAATCTAATTTCAATTACATTTAGTTTTTGTTGCTTATTCAATTCTTATCGCAAAAAGTTGATGCCAATTTGTCTATATATTTTCTGCTTTATTTGGAAAGAATTTCTTTTTTAGGTTTCTTAAAATTTAGAAAAGAAATGGCTAATATCAATATTAAAGAATAGTTTCCAATTGTTAAAACACAATGGACACATTGATTTTGACAAATATGTGAAAAAGACACACTGTAACAAAAATTTGAAATACTGAAAGCTAGCAGAAACAAACATTCCCTCATCAACACCCATTTTAATGTTCAAGTCGCTCAAAAGCCATTGCATATTGTATCACCCATATTGATCCTTCTGTCATCCCGTCATTCCATAATCCAATAGTTGTCCAGACTTTTGTCAGTATGCCTGTAGATGCAGTGTAAATAATTGTTTTCATGCCCTACCTAGGGGCAAGGGGCATTATGTTTTTCGGTCTGTGCGTCTGTTCGTCCGTCCTATCATCTGTCCGTCCATCTGTCCTGCTTCAGGTTAAAGTTTTTGGTCATGGTAGTTTTTGATGAAGTTGAAGTCCAATCAACTTGAAACTTAGTACACATGTTCCCTATGTTATGATCTTTCTAATTTGAATGCCA